ACTGCTTCTTCTTCTTGGTTTTTCAGCTTCAAGCGTATGGTTTGCCTCAATTTCAAGAAACGTTGATCGACTTCCACAACCGCAAAAGACGATGAAGTTTGCTTTGATTTTGGATCCTGAGTTTTGTCCTCTGCCTCCTCTTCTCCCAGCGGAGCAGGTTCTTTCTCAATCACCGTTACTGGTACAGAGTCATCTCGGGCAGGGAAGTTTGAGAATTTCCCGATAATCAAAGCTTTGTTCAGATTGTTTTGGAGAAAGTGTAACTGAGAAGTTATGAATCAAACTTTGGCTTCTTTGGCTTTCTTCTCTTTTTTGGCAAGGGCTACGACCCCTTCTAACCTCTTGATAGTAGCTTCTCCTTCCTTGCAACGATCCATCAACAATCAGAATGAAAATAAGTCGTTACAGCTCAAGGGTGAGGATGATACTCGTGGCATAAACCACAACATCAAGATCATCAAAAATAAACTCTACAGTAGCTACAGCTTGAGAGAAAAGGAACTCAATCGTCGGCGCAACAGCGAAAGAGTAAACGACACCAAGATCTTTTAGCAAATGATACCATGTGAGAAAGTGGCCATCGATGACAAGAAATGAAGAACGAGTGTGTGAAGAAGAGATGAGCAGCAGTGATTGTGTATTACTAAAATGTGAAAATGAATTACAAACAATGCTTGATTTAATCCACTACATTGCTAGGCTTATATAGCCCTCTAACAACCTGCTAACTAACTAACTGAAGTGCTAACAGAATAACAAATACTAACTAATCTTATTAACATTCTAATATTCTAATATTGTGCATATTACTTCGTATTAGTTCTGTATCGAGTTAAAAGAGGGGAAACTGTGTTTCCTTTGTTTAGACCATGAAATGTGCTTAATTCATAGGTTAAATCGACAGCGAAAATCAGCCTTTCTCTTTCAAGATAATAAAGCATGTTAACAGATAAATGAGCAATTTCAATCAAATCAGCAAACCCCATAAATGTTCATCTTTCCAAAAAAAAAATGTACACATTACAACATTTTAAAGAGGAACAATTGATTACCATCCAACAGAATCTGTTCTAAAACAACTTATGAAAAGGTTACATCAACTGATATTCCGAAAATTAAGTTATCCCATTCAAAAAGCAATAACCGAATATAAACTAGGAAATGAATCTTCTCAAGCAAAATCATGCTATTTGTTGCAATCAACAAATGGATGTCAAAACAATTGAAATCGAATATAAACTAGGAAATGAATCTTCTTAGATACTGTCTTAAAGGTGACGAGTGAAGATAATAGTCAAGCCCTTTGATAACCATCAATTATCAGTAATGTATTAGTATGAACTTCACTTGGATTATTCTAAACTATAAGACAAATAACAAAAACCCAATAAAATAATCAACATGTGACCTAAAATAAATTTAAAAGAAATAAAAAAGGAAAGAAAACCCAAATTCAAATCTCAGTAACTACTTAACTGTGAACAATTTATGATAGCAAAGTGTGCAAGCAACCGTGAATAAAGAAATATCTTACATCTAATGAGACAATTTAATAATTTTTTTAGGTGCTGCAATGACAGACCAAGCATAGATATATTATTTTAACCAATTCAAAGAGTTAATGAAAACAAATGTGATTGTGAGAGAAAATATTGTAAATTCCAGGAAAAGAAGCAATGTACTAGCTCTAAAATCAACTTGAAAACAATAAGATGTATACTATATGCGTGAGCAATAAAAGAACTAGAATATAATAAAGAAAAGTCGCTGCTGCAATCGCCATGAACACCACTAGCACTGGAGCGCTCAAGATTCGCAGAGAATGGAGGGTTATCGCTTTTCAGTGATATTTTAGATTAAATTTTTTTAACAAAAAGGAAAACAAGAGATATGCTAATTCTTTTCTCTTTTTTTGTATTTGTGAGAATTGAATCCAACAACACCAGGCAAAACCATGCTCATGGGTTGTAAATTTCAAAATAAACTAATTATAAAGAATAAGTTGAAATTTGAAGGGATGTTTACCTCGACTGCGACAGAGAAGAAATCGATAGTGCTGGAAGAGAATAGAGACATATCTGTTGGTGATTGAAAATCGATTGCGGCGGCGTGATGTTGCGATTGTGGTGATGGCTGCACGGTGGTGGCTTCATTGTGATGGCTGGGCGTTAGAGGAAAATTAGAAAAAATGGGAATGAAACAATTAGGGATTTGGAACATGATGGGTTAAAAAGGATTGTAAAATTGCGGCGTTTATTAAAAAAACGCCACTAAGATACATGATTGTCACGAAGTTTATTACAAAAAACTGTTAAGGTGCATTACTATCGCATCGCTTATTACAAAAACGCCGTTAAGGTGCATGATTATCGCAACATTTATTAAAAAAATGCCGTTAAGGTGCATGACTATTGCGGCGTTTATAAAAACGCCCCTAAGGTGCATGACTATCACGTCATTTATTATAAAAACGCTGCTAAGGAGCATACCTATTACAACGTTTATTACAAAAACACCGCTAAAGTACATGAATATTGCTGCGTTTATAAAAAACTCCGCTAAGGTGCAGGACTATTGCCACTAAGATGCATAACAATCACGTCGTTTATTACAAAAAAGTTGATAAGGTGCATGACTATTGCGACTATTGTGGCAATTACTACAAAAACGCCACTAAGGGCCATGACTATTGCGACATTTATTACAAAAATGCCGCTAATGTGCATGAATATTGTGACGTTTATAAAAAACGCCGCTAAGGTGCATGACTGTTGCCGCTAAGGTGCATGACAATTGTGACGTTTATTACAAAAACGCCGATAAGGTGCATGACTATTGCGATGTTTATCAAAAACTCCACTAAGGTGCATGACTATTACAGAGTTTATTACAAAAACGCCACTAAGGAGCATGGCTATTGCGGCGTTTATTATAAAAACGCCGCTAAGGTGCATGACTATTGCAACGTTTGTGTAAAAACGCCGTTAAAGTACTTCTCTATCACGACATTTGTTAAAAAAACGCCACTATGGATGAACCTATTGTGGTGTTTGTGTAGAAATGCCGCTAAAGTTACCATTTTGTGGCGTTTAAAATATAAATGCCACTATATATTTAAAGTTAGTTTCGTTTACTCTAAAAACGCCGTGTTACCTTCATCCGGAGTCACTATGCTGAGTCAATTACTCTTTCATCTTCACTGAAACACCCACAGCTACAAAACTTTACTCTATGGTAGCCTCCATCTGCTTCGCATGTGAAGATAAACGTGGATGCAAGCGTTCAACCAGAAGTAGTCTTGCTCGGATTTCATGGCTAGAGATGCTAATGGTCAAATTATCGGTGTTGGACATAGGATATAAAAAACATCACTTGTGTGTTTACTGCCGAGGCGCTTACTGTTGTTCAGGGAATTCAATTTGCATCAGAGATTGGCCTCCAATCGGTGGTGGCGGAAAGTGACTCCAAATCAGTGATCTCTAGGCTCCAAAGCGATACCACAGATTTCTCTACTATAGGCCATCTCACCAATGATGCAAAGACCTTTGCAACTCACTTTAGAAGCTGCTCATTCACTTTCATTGGGAGAAATGGTAACACAGCTGCACATGCAATGGCAACGGATGGAATAAAAACCTCTAATGACAGATTTGGCTAGAGGAAGCTCCACCAACGACCACACGAGTTGCTGCCATGGATCGAAGATTTATCGACCCACCTTAATTTCTGCTGCATGTGGGTTTTTTCTTAGGGGATCGCATCCTGACTTGAGCTTTGGCTCCCTCCCCTTCTCAGTCCTCAGCCTCGGATCTCTATTTAGTTTGGTCTCTCTTCGGGCTAAGGATTCTGAAAAGCCTCTCCTTTGTTTTGTCTGTTTATTATTATTATTATTATTATTATTGTTTTGCCCTCCATGGTTTTTGTTTTTGCTTGTTTCATTTCTGCTTTTCAATTCGTGTGTAAGTGGGGCTCTAGTTTTTACCCCTGGCCAATTTATTTATTTTCAACAAAAAGCTTCAAAACGTCGTTTTTTCAAATAAATAAATAATATGAAAATCGAGTTTTATTATTTATATATTGAGACCATTAATATTTGAATTATTCAAAACATAAATTAATTCTTTAATTTTTGCATATGATATTAGAAAACTCTAATTGGAGTTTCAGTATCCATACATGTGTAATATAAATTGGGATAACACAATATTTTTTTTCTTATACTTTAGTACATTTTCTCAACTTTAATTATGATTTTTTATCTCAATATTCTCAAAACTTTGTAACTCTTCTTATATTTAATTATTTTAATGATATGAAATTTTAAGATAACATGCGACATATCATCAAAATTATAAAGGAAATCTAGTTTAGATATTATTGTAAACAAAGAAAATATAAGGATCAAGTTAACAAAAGTTAGTAAGTTAAAAAAAATCGAATTTACGGACTAAAACCAAACAAAAATTTAAGTTTAATGATGATTTTGGGAGAAAAATTAATTAGGTGATCAAAACAGAACTGTAAAAATAGTTGTGTGGCTAAATATATAATTTATCCTTGTTATTTCTAATGGAGTTAATAGTTTGAAGCAAACAAAATACTATTTAAAATTAAGAGAGTAAAACGTTTCAGAAAATACTTTAGGGATAATTTAGTACAAATGACATATTTTAAGGGGATAATGATAAATTTAACTCAAAAATTTATAGAAAATAATTAATATTTTATTTTAAATAATTCATTTTTATAATTTAATTAATTTATAATTATATGTTGAATATTTTAATATTTTAAATTTTTATAAATTATATCAGACATTTTTTATTTTAAATTTGATTCGGTCTGAACCTGATTATCATTCCAAATTCCATTTTTTTAGAAGGAAAAAAACTCAAGCCTTTAAGATCTGATCGAAAGTCATGTTCGAATCTTATTTACATCAATACTCTTAAGCCCTAAAAAAATAAATAAATAGTTAAATAAGAATAAAAAAATAAAAAGTTGTTGAAAAAAGGGCATCGAGCGCAGTCAAGAAGTAAATGTGGCAATAGAACAGATGTTGTTGTGTTCTTCATCGGCAGTAATTCGAAGGATATCAGTGTCGTGGCTGATTTTGGCTAACAATACTAACTTCAAATCCCACCGCCTCTCTCGTTCTGGTAAATTCCTCTACTCACTAAATCTTCTTATTTATACTTTCTATCTTCCTTTTTTTTTTCAATTTGCTGGGTAATTCCTTTTCCCCTTTTGAAATAACCAGCCGATGCTTCTCTGGAGTTAGAGAGCTCCACGAAAAGAGCCATAACAATGAGCACACAGTCTTCCATCAAGGACGCTTTTTCTAACTACGCTGATTACCTCAATGCCCTTGTAAATTTTCCTTTCCTTTCTCTTTTTTCACCCTTTTTTTAGTTTAGTTTACATTCTGTATCTCTTTTTTACCTTGGGTCGCATAAATTCTCTGAAATTTTTTGATGTTTATTCAGGTTTTGTGAAACTTTAGGAGGTTTTTAAAGTGGTGAAAATCTTTATCTTGAAGATGTAGATTATGTATACCCAATAGACTATAAAGTCTTGAGCTGGGTTGGGAAAAAAACACAAGTATCAGCATTAATGCTTTATACCCTCATTTCCACAGGGACAAATTGGTAGGAAATAACAATCATTTGTTCCAATAAAGACGTAAAATCGGTTCTAGATCATTTGTTCTAGCGGTGAAGCTTGCTCTCTTGTTGTATACTTGCAAGTTGCAATATGGGGATATCTTCTCCAAAATGTTCAAAGTTGATTACATGTATATAAGCTGTTAAGTTATCTTGCATAATGGGGATTTCTTTTTTGCATGTATCTACTTCATTGTTGAAGATTATTTTAGATGAAATGACTAATCAACCCAAATCGTTTTTTGTAGAATGAAAAACGGGAAAGGATAGTTAAAGCTAGTCGTGATGTAACTATGAATAGTAAAAAAGTCATATTTCAGGTGCACAGGTAATGGTCAGTTTACCCATTTTCATTTCTCAGGATTCCAATGCTATAATATATTTTTTTTTTGTTCTCATGGCTGTTGCCTATTCATCTGGTTCTTAATGCAATTAGTCAATTCAAATACATTGTTCCTCTTGCTGTTATTTACTATCTATTTTCTTTATCCTCATGGTTTTGTTTGTTTTCAAGAAATGAATTGTTTTTATGTCAGTTAATATGATATGCTAATTTGCTGTGGTTTATTTATACTTTCTTATCTAGCTACAACATTTGCTTAATGACAGAATCAGTAAAAACAATAAAGAGGAAGTTTTGGAAAAGGCAGAAAAGGATTTAGCGGCAGTAAGAGATCAGCATATCTCGCGACTGGTGAAAGAGTTGCAAGGGACTGATTTTTGGAAGCTTCGGCGAGCATACTCTCCTGGGGTTGCCTCTTTTTCTTCTTAGACTCTAGTGCAATAGTGCCGAAGAGAAAAAAACTTAGTTGACTTGTTATGCTTGTCTCTTTGCAGGTACAAGAGTATGTTGAAGCTGCAACATTCTTCAAATTCTGCCGAACTGGAACCCTCTTGAATCTTGATGAGATAAATGCTAGTTTATTACCACTTAGTGATCCATCTCTTGAGCCTTTGCAAATTAACCTCCTTGACTATCTCTTGGGGGTAGATGCCTGAATTTTGTGCTATTTACCTTTTGAAGACTTAGGCTGATGAAAGCTTTTGATGCAAATACTTTTTGAATAACATTATATCCCTCTGTTAAAATATCATCTACTTATTTTCAATATACATGCATAAACACACGTCTCTGAAAAACAAAACCAAACCAAACCATTCACATAAACTCCCACATGTATTAAAATGTAGGGTATCTACTCTTCCTTTACAGCTTGCAGATTTGACTGGAGAGCTGATGCGGTTAGCGATTGGTCGAATATCAGATGGCGAAGTAGAATATTCTGAGAGAATATGCCATTTTGTACGTGATATCTATAGGGAATTGACTCTTGTTGTCCCACTTATGGATGATAGTTTTGACATGAAGACAAAGATGGATACAATGCTCCAAAGTGTAGTGAAAATAGAGAATGGTAATATTGGTGCTGATTTTCTTTCCCTTAAAGTCAGAATCATCGTGCAGTATATTATTTAAGATTTCTTTGTTAAGCTAATGAATGTCTGATGCCTATAATTCCACGGGTTTGTTGTTATTATATGTGCTATAAATGCCCAAGGATCTTAAAAGACTTGAAAATCCATGCACAACTTGTATCCACGTGATAATTCTTTTGCTGGATCCCTTATACGAGTTCTTGTTGCATGCAGCGTGCTTTAGTGTTCGTGTTAGAGGATCAGAGTACATTCCTCTTCTAGGGTCCAGTGATCCAAGTTCCTTCTTAGTGGGAGTGTCTGATGCAGAATTATGAAAGTAACTTCTACTTCTCTTAGTCTCTCTTCTTTCCTTCTCTTTGTTTTAATCGTGCATGTGTGGTATGCCATTAACTTCATTTAATTCCCCTTTTGCAGTTCTTGGCTGGAAGAGTGTTTCCTGCTTGAGATACAATGGTTTTGGAGTACTTAAAGAAATGTTTACTGAGAATCTTCTATGAATAGAAAGTTCTTTTAAGGCTTATGCTTTGTTGGTTTTGTTTCTAGTGCACTTTGTTAAAGCTTGATGTAATTACCTTGCATGCTAGACTCTGCAAATGGTTATAACAAGGGAAAGAACTACCGTCTGTTTGAAAACTTTCATATGACAATTCTCTCTCACCCATTTTAGTTGATGGGGAGTTAACAATGGAGCTTAGAATTAGAAATCTTTTAAAAGATGTCCCGAGTCTGATGCAAGAACTCATTTAGTTAGGTTTATTTTGACACTTGGATCCAGTTTACATAGGTTGAGCATGTTTTAAACATATTAACATCCTATTTAGTGATTGATCCTGTTTATGCCAAGCCAATATTCCTAGTCTTATCTAAGCATCTACTACAAATTGAGCTCTTCCAAGTATATAAAGCTTTCTCTTTGCTCATAGCTTCAGTTTTCTCTAATTAGTAGCACTTAGCAAATACTAATTTGTAGTATTAGTTTGTCATCAAGTTATTATTACCGAAATGTTTAAAATACAGAAATAATTACGACAGGAAAATAGTGTGATGTATCTGCTTGAAATTTCCGTGAGAAGTTCTGGTAATATCCGAATGATTGGTGCATGATATTTTCTTCCTGTGTAGGGTGTGAATCTATCTGTCCACATAAACACATTTAGTTTTGCTTTAGAAGGTTGGAAATCAAAGACTACTCTCTAGTTAGTGCTCAGAAGGATTATTTTGGTGTGAAGTAAAACCTTATAAGACGGCAAAGCTTTGAAATCTGCAATTGTAATGACCGCTTGGAATTCATTTGTAAGTGAAATATGGTTTTGAAGGAATAGAAGGATGCATGGTAGTCAACATAGAAGATCAGCTGCTGTGTTTTCAAAATTAAGATGGATTGTGTATATACTAGATTTGGGAGTGGCTTGGTTAGCAACGTTGGGTCCAGTGGCTCGGTTACCAACTATAGTGATTCCGCCTTTCAATTTGCTTTGGGTGACAAACGGATTTGTTGGAGTGGAACTCGATCATTAGGTCCTCAAGAGGTGCAATTGAATTCACTTTGACATACGAATCAAGCGACTTCGGTGGTAAAAGAATTATTGTTATTTTTTGAGATCCCGAGTTCAACACTAAGAATGTCATGAGTATGAACGTTCAATATTAAATGATTGTGAGTTATCTTTAAATAAATATTATCTTGTGCTTATCTCAAATTAATTAAAAAAATTACTTTGTTGTTTATTTGATGTGTAGAGTTACGGTTGGGTTTTAGAGTATATAATAGAGAAAATAATTTTAGTGACCGAAAATGTCTTATAATATACGATTTTAACTAATTTTTTTTTGGATTTGCGAAAATGACCAACAAATTTGCAACGCGAACTCCAATTTCACAACTCAGTTTCCAAATTCGCAATACTAAATTTCAACTTCGCAACTCGATTTTTGAATTCGTAACTCGATTTTTGAATTCGCGACGTGAATTTTGTTATAGCAACTCAATTTTCAAATTCGCAATACGAATTTTAATTTCGCAATAGGTTTTAATTTCGCAACACAAATATTTTGGGTATATAACTACGCTACAGCAGCAACTCATAACCTAAATCCTTAAATCGCAACTCATTCCATTTCCATCTATCTCTCTTTCTGACGACATCCATTCATATATCCAACGACATCCGTTCCTATATCCAACGACATCCTTCCCCATCTCTAATTTTTTTTACATAATTTTATTTCTATATAATTTTTCAATAATTTCTGTTCCAAATTATCAACTATCAACTTAATAAAGGTATGTTTTTCTCTAAGTTAGTGATGATATGTAGTTTATAGCTCATTTGTTTAGTAAATTAATTTACAATTTGTAGAATGAAATCATTTGATGTTGATCATGTTTGGATAGATTTGTGTTTTGGAGGGTCATGGGAGAATGTTCATGGTGTTTTACAATATATGTCTTTATCCATAAATCTTCAACTAAAACAGTCATTAAAAGAGTTGACTTATGAAACTCTAATGTTACGTGTTGCAAAGAAATTGAATTTAGAGCCTCTAAGTGGATTTAGGCTATCTTATCAGAGAAAATGTAAAGTTTATTTGTTAACCGACAATGAAGATGTTGAACGATTCATTGCATATATTAGTGTTTCGCAAGAAAATGATGTTACATTGTATGTTGTTGAACCTAGAAGTAGTGAAGTTGAGTCAGTAGCGGGTAGTAATCAACTAAGCTCTTCAACCCCAGTTTATGGTGCTCACAATGTACAACGTTGTTATCAACCTCAAAATTTAATGGTTCCACCACAATTTCATCACCAAGAAAATTTTGTTTCACCACATTTCCAATACCAAACACTATCAAACAAAATCTCAAAACCCGTAACCTTTTCCTAATCCAAATCCCAATCAATTCTGGTTTTCGTATTGACCAGTTAGACGATTATGAGCCAACAGAAAAAATTGTGAGTAGTAGTCAGTATTCGAAATTTGATATTGGTCAATACCCGGACTTTGATCTTGGTCAATACTCGGATTTTGATGATGTTTCAAAAGAAGAAACAGACACTGCGTGTAATGATTTTGATATTGGTCAATACTCGAATTTTGATGATGAAACAATCGTTGCTGAGGAAGATGTTGTTGATAATAATGAGGAGGAAGTTACGACTGTGAATGAACATGTTGAACATCCATTCTATAATTCATATAACCCTGAAGAAGAAGAAGTCCAAGAAGAAAAGAAAAAAAAGAAAATGCCACGGGAGTATAACTGAAATATGTCAGAATTACTTTAGATACCGGAAAAAGAGTTGGTAAAGATAACAGTTGATTGTTACACAAAAGTTATTTGTATCAAGAAAGATGATTGTTTTGATACAAAGGAAGACTTGAAGATAGCTTTGTATACGAAATGTGTGGAAGATAGCTATCAACTAAAAGTTAACAAATCAAACAAAGATCGTTTTGAAACAAAGTGTATGATTGACAAAAATTGTACGTGGCATATGATTGCAAAGAGGATAAAAGATTGCGAAATGTTTCAAGTTAGGACTTTTATTGATAAACATACATGTTCAAGAACCCAAGTTTTTCCTCACCATAGACAGGCAAACAAAAAGGTGTTGGGTGATTTTCTGGCTGAGTTAATTTTTTTGAATGGCAGGGTATATCGGGGACATGAAATTATGACTGACATGAATGCTCGGTTCAAGATTAGTATCTCATATTCTCAAGCTTGGAGAGCCAAATGTTATGCATTGGAATTGTTGAGGGGGTCTCCAGAAGCATCATTTGCCCAACTGCCGGCTTATTGTCACAATTTAAAGCTGAAAAATCCTGAGTCGGTAACTCATATCAAAACAGATAGAGATGGACGCTTTGAGTTGCTGTTTATCTCCATTGGTGTTACGGTTAGTAAATCAATATAATTTTGTTGACTCATTTTTGTTAGTTACATGCATTTCACATTTAAATGATTATGTCTTGTGTATATTATTTTGTAGATTCGTTCGTTTATTACTTACATGTGCCCAGTTATTATAGTTGGCGGAGCACATTTGAAAGGTCGATACCTTGGAGTAAACTTATTAGCAGTAGCCATGGATGCTAATAATGGGATACTACCAATAGCTTACGAGGTTGGCAAATCTGAAACCTCTTATTCATGGATATGGTTTATGGGGCATCTTAGGGATTGCATAGGTCCTATTAGCAATCTGACAATCATATCCGATAGGGAAAACTCAATTGACAACGCTGTTAGAAGGTGTTTCCCAGATGCTTTTCATGGACTTTGTGGTGTTTATTTGTATAGAAATCTAAAATCAAGGTCTGCTGGTATAAAAAATCACAAATGGACATACTGGAAGGTTGTAAAAGCTTATCGGGAAGTGGATTTTAATAAGCATATAAATTGTTTAAGACGTGTTTTGCCTCAATGTGCTCAAACACTAGAAGATGTCGGGTTTGAAAGATGGTTAAGAGTACAGCAACTTGGAGCAAGATATGGTTTCATGACGTCTAATAGTGCAGAATCAATCAACGCTCTAAGTCGTCATTCCCGGAAATTACCCATTACTATGTTAATGAAGTTTTTTCGAGCCTCTATTCAACAGTGGTACTACAAGAAAAGAAACCATGCAAATATTATTTCTTTAAATTCGTAACTTATCATATATTTTACTAAGTATTATTTATTTAAATTTACAGGAACATTGGAACGTCGTGTTACACCATGTACTGAAAAAAAGATAACGAAACGTGTTGTGAAGTCAACGTCATGGAGAGTTGAACCATGTTCAAACACTTTGTTTAAAGTATTTGATAATAACTTAAATGGGCTTGTCGATATAAATGCAAAGACGTGTAGTTGTATGAAATGGCAAACATCTAGTTATCCGTGTGGCCATGTTATAAAAGTTGCTCTTTATCTAAACCAAGATGATTCAAGCGCATACGCTATGGATTGCTACACTACAAAAGTATATCGACAGACTTATGCCGGGATTGTCTACCCTATTCCACATCCTTCTGAGTTGGACATACCAGATGACTTACAAACAGTTTTGCCACCAGTCATGGATAACAGGCTACTTGGCCGACCAAAAAATCACGATCGTATATCGTCTAAGGGTGAAGAGAAGAGGATATCGACATGTAGTCGGTGCAAGGAAAGTGGTCATACAAGGTTGACCTGTGGATCACCAGTGCCATCACAATCATCTTTTCCTCTACCAAAATATGGATCCTCATCAAAATCCAAAGCTCATATGGTGCCAAGCAAAAGGAAATCAAAATCGCAATCAAAATCAAAATCTCAATCACAATCGGCTTCACCTTTTGGGACTTATTAACTTAGGTGATTTTTAAATGCAAACATTGTATTATGTGTATTTTATGTGTGAATGCATACATTTCAGTTAGACATTCATTAGTAACTTGAGTTTGAACATTGCTATAATCCGTTCAGTTGTTATCACTTATCAGATTTTTTGTTGCGATTGTTGAGA